TTCATCCAGGACTGGTGAATCTGCATGGCTTGGGCCATATGTTTTCTGCACTGGGGTGCCTAGAGGATCCCCTAGAAAACTGCTCATCTGAAGAGTGAAGTGGGGCTGGGGCAGCCATGAGTGTGGGAAGCCATAGTAGGGGACAGATCCAGGCTTACCTCAGGGTTCCGGCAGATGTGGCCAGTGGTGGCACAGGGAGGGTCCCACCTTGGAGCCCAAGCCATGCTCGGATTGTCCAGAGAAGGGTGAGGCCACCTCTGGTGGGATTGCTCTGCTATGATAGCAGATGACCTCTAGCCCAGGTAGCCTTAGGGCTGCCAGGGTTCAGCCAGCCAGGAGAGCCCATTGAGGCCACAGTAGAGAGTCACTTGACCTCCTTTCAGAGTTGGATATCCAGAGCCTGTCCCCGGGGCCATCCCTGTTAACACTGTCAGTGGTGTGGAGTCCCAGGCCCACTCTGTGTGTGGCTAGAGAGGTCTCAGGAACAATGGCCTGGAGCTTAAGTCTAGGAAGAGGTCCTTAGTGGGCCCGTGGGTTGAGCACCTGCCTCTCCAGGCCCTTGTCTCTGCCCTGCCCACTGCCTTTTTGGCTGCCCTCCTGTACCCTTTCCTCACACTGTCCCTGGATGCCATCTTATCCTGACTTCTCTTCAGTCAGATAAGGATCCTTTCTGGGCTGTGTACTGAAGGCCAGTTCTAGGCCAGGCCCAGCACTGGTTGGTATCTGAGTTGCGGGAGGACTTTGGGACCAGGAACTGTACTCAAATCCTGACAGAAGAGTGCATCTACTTCTCCAGCACATCAGCCACCAACACCTCACACAAGGACTCCTGTGCCCTCCATGCTGGGCCTGGGAACACACGTCAGGTGGGCAGTCTCATCTCGGAACAGGGAATATGTTGAAGCACTTGGCATCTATCCATGTGGCACATAGCTGTGGATGAGGCAGCCGAGTGTGCAAGTGGAGAGAAGATCTGGAGACAACACTCAAGAGCATGTGGTGGTTCACGGCTGCAGAGCACAGTGGACTGAGGCATGTCTATATGTGGGGCATCCCGGGAGGGCTCACAGGAGAGGACCATGGTTGTCCTGGGGGGCAGCCAGGGTGGGGAGGGTGGGAAGGTTTCCTTCAAGCTTCTCCCTGCAGGGCATTTAGGCCCACAGAGAGTGTAAGGTTGGTGCCATTGGGCACTCAGGATCCAGCTCAAGGAGCAGGCAGCTCATGCCACCCACACGTGTCCATTGGCTAACCCAAGGGCACCAATGCCTGCGGCTCCTCATGTAACTGTCTCAAGGGAGTTAAACGTTTAGGAACTGAGTGAGGTGGGTCCATCAGTGATACCAGCTCATGGGAAGCTGAGGTAGAATGATTGCCAGAAACTTAAGCCAGCCTGGGTAAACTGGTGTGTTTTAGAACAGTCAGGACTCTTGTAGAACATGAGAACCAGAGTTCAGATCCTCGGGACTCAAAAAAATGCAGGCGGGTGGGGGGGCTCTCCTATCATCCCAGCACTTAGGAGGCTTCCCTGGGGGTGCGGGGGGAATGGCTAGCTAGATATGGCAGAATTGGTGAATTCTAGGTTCAGGGACCCGAAGTTGAGTATGATTGAGAAAAACACCCAATATTAACTTTGGACCTCCACTTATATACACACACATGTGGTAATATAGCCTCCATGTTTGCCCACACATGTAAACATATACACATACATATATACACACACCACACACATATGCTAACATTTTTATTTTATACAAATGGTGTTCTAAGTAGGCATTGCCTATCTCCTTTCAATACACGGAGAACCCATACTGCCACCTAGCCCATCCACTGTCAATCATAATGAGAAGCCATGCTGCCACCCTGGCCCATCTGCTGTCAATCATAGTGAGAAGCCATGCTGCCACTGTATCTGGTAACACACTGTGTATGGGGACCTTGGTGGGCCGTTGGGCGTTACTGATGGGTGTGGAGGCTCAGGTGGCTTGTCCTGCGGCAAGATGCTGCCTCCTGGTGGCTGGTAGACTTTCTGCCAGGCTGAGCAGGTGCACATCTTCGGGTTCTGTCAGACTGGTGTACCTCATTAGTTAGGAGTGTCTGGAGGCCTGGGTAGACCTGCCATCAGGGTGTGTGCTGGTAGTGTCTGAGTCCCATTTGCACTTCCCTCATGATCAGATAAGCAGCAGCCTTTCCGGCACTCCAACAGCTCCATGGCCTCAGAATGGCCCCTTTGCATGACCTGCTTGTGTGTTTAGCTTTCCTGCATTGGGCTGCTTATTAAGACGTCATAGATGGACACTTGCTAATGTTTTTCATCAGAGATGCTTCTCAAGTCAGATACATCTATGAGAGATTTGTGTTGTTGTTGGGACAGGATCTCATGTTGCTCAGGCCAGCCTTGATTTCACTGTGTAGCCAAGGATGACCTGAACTTCTGATTGTCCTGCCTCTATCTCCCAAGCACAGGATCACAGGCTTGTGTCACCACATTCAGTTTATGTGACTAGAGACCAAACCAGGGCTTCATGCATGCTAAGCAAGCGTGCTAAGCACCTGCTGAGCCACATGCCCAGCACCTAGATCTAGACTTGTTACTAAAGATAGCAACCCCGTTCACCCTCCACTTTCAACTGTCTTAAGACAGTTTGTATTTATGTCACTATATGAACATGCCCATCTTGTGGCCACTTGTCAGTCCAGGTCCTGCACATCCATTCACCCCATGGACTGTGAGGATGCTCTGTGCCACCTGCATGCGCACATCCTCTATGGCTGCTGCATGTGCACATCCTCTGTGCTTGCTGCACGCAGCTCTGGTCAGGCCTGCCCTCGTGCTTAACCAGTGTTGACTGAGAGCTCCAGGGTGATGCTTCATGTCACTCTGCTTCCCTCCTTGCTGAAGTTCAGCTCTACTTGGAATGAAATTTTCTGTGACTCACTCTGTTCATACATGGTCAACTCTCCTCCAGTTGTGTAATCTCATCTCAGAATGTCCCAACACAGGCTGCAACCTTTTTTGTTGCTGAGTTCAAAGCTTCTGAACCATCCCAGTCAAGGGCTTACTGTTAGTGGCTGTTGGTGTCTCGTAGCCTTCAGGCAGCTTTCCTGGGTCCCATGCTTTCTTTCTTTCTTTCTTTCTTTCTTTCTTTCTTTCTTTCTTTCTTTCTTTCTTTCTTTCTTTCTTTCTTTCTTTCTTTTTTTGAGCTGAGGATCGAACCCAGGGCCTTGTGCTTGCTAGGCAAGCGCTCTACCACTGAGCTAAATCCCCAACCGATGGGTCCCATGCTTTCTTGACATAAGCTTTCATCTTCAGGAGCACACCCTCCATCAGCAACTGAAGAGACAGCGTGTAACTGATGCTTTGGCACGCATCTCTGGAGATTAATCTTGTCTTGCATTCAGCTGTGTTAGCTCAGCAAAGTGTTGAGATTCACACATGTCGTGTTAGCAAGTCACTCATTTAAATACTGTCCCAGCATACAAACACACTATATATTATGCCTCTAACACTCCTGCTCAATGAGGTTGCTTACAGCTGGGACAGCTGGGAATAAACTTGCTGGGGCATTATCTTCGGACATGTGTTCATGCCAGTGCCGATTCAGGTTGTCTGGTAGAGGGTGTTCAAATTTAGGGAGGCTTCACCATTGCACACTACATGCACACACGTAAGCACGCATGCACACTCAAGCACTAGGGCGTGGGGACTCTGAGCTCAGCCATTTCAGGGGAGGGGGATACAGTGGCATCTCACTGGAAGATTTTGCATCCTCACCACCTGTACATGCTGAGTGCCCCTTCTCATGCTGCTGGGCATGTGGGCATCTTCACTGGTAAAGAGCCTACACGATCTTTTTGCTCATTAAAAAGAACTGGCTGGACAATTCTCTATGCCGTTTAGGCGAGCTTTGGACATAAAGTCTCACGTGCCCAGGATGACCTCAAACTTCTGACCCTTCTGACCCTTCCCCAATGCTGTGATTACAGGTATGTGCCGCGACACCCAGTGCGTGAGGTGCTGGGGATTGATCGCAGGGCTCAGTGCATGCTAAGCGGGTACTCTGCTAACTGAGCCCCAGTCCAATTTTCTGTTGACTTTCTTAGTGACATCTTTGCTGAGCAGATTTCCAATTCTGATGAAATCTAAACTTTTCTTTCATGAGTAAATCATTCAACTTGGTCTAACTTCAGGAGATCCTCCTGGGTTACCTTTTTTCTTTTCTATTCTCTTCTTTCTTTCTTTCTTTCTTTCTTTCTTTCTTTCTTTCTTTCTTTCTTTCTTTCTTTCTTCTTTCTTCTTTTCTTCTTTTTTTGTCTCAAGACAGGGTTACTCTGTGTAGCCCTGGTTGTCCTGGAGCTTACTCTGGCTGGCCTTGAACTCACAGAGATCCACCTACCTCTATCTCCCAGAGTGCTGGTATTAAAGGTGTGCACCACCACCACCTGGCCATCTTCTAGATTTTGTTTTTTAATTTTTTTTTTAAGACACGTTTTTTCTGTATAGTTTTGGTACCTGTCCTGGATCTCACTCTGTAGACCAGGCTGGCCTTGAACTCACAGAGCTCTGTCTGGCTCTGCCTCCTGAGTGCTGGGATTAAAGGCGTGCACTACCACTGCCTGGTCATCTTCTAGTTCTTCACCACCACCACCCGGCCCATCAGCATGGTTTGCACACTGGGCCCATGGACAGTTTTGCATTGTGCATGATGTGCAAGGTGACTTTAGTCTTCCCCCAAGGAGCCAAGTGGCTCCAGCTCCCTTTCCTGTGAAGACACTCTTTTCAGTGCAGACATCTCTTGAATCTAGAGGTGCCATTCAGATGCTCATATCCCTGTTTGTCTTACCACCCTCCCTACCTGCTGGCTCCTTTCTGCTGTCACCCCTATAAGCTCTCACTCCTGGGCCTGGCTGTCTTGTGTTTTCAACTGTGAGCTACCCTGGGCTTATGGGACCTTACCTTTGGGTTGGAAAAATAGGGACACAGGTCATTTTCCCAGAAATACTTTGAAAAATATTTTATTGTGTAGGGGACACATGTCACAGCACACATGTGGCCAGAGGACAACTTGCACAAATCTGTTCTTCCCTTCTATCATATGGTCCCTGGGGACTGAACTTAGGTCACCAGCCTGGGCAGCAAATGCCTTCCCCTGCCAGCCTGAGGACTTGTACTTTTGCTAGATGGCAGAGCACTGCCAGCCAGAACCACCTCGTCTAGGTCTGTAGTTTGAGCATTCCTTGCCATGAGTCACACTCCCCCAGGGAGCAGTTTGCAGGGTCTGACTCCCGAGTTAGCCAGGAGTAGCCTCCCAATTCTGTACCGAGGGGTCAGTCAGCTCCGAGGAGCAGGCGGCCCCTGCACTGGTCACATCTGCTCCGACTCAGCTATGGGCTCCACATCACTCACAGAGATGGCTCACTGGGCTGCTACAAACACGCTCATTTCTCATTTCTACATAGGAAAATGCAGCCATGACCTCTGACTCTAGGGACAGAAACAAACCTGAGTGAAGGTTCATCTCCTTCTTTTGCATCTCTGATACCAGGCATTGCTCCTGTAGTAGACTGAGCCTGGTGTTCAAGGGGCCCAGCGTCATCCCAGGTCCCTGAGCTGTGTGTGGCACAGGAGTCCTTCAGAGTGTGTCTCTGAACCAGAAAGACAGAGCTGAAAACCTAGTCACAGGCACTTCTCTGGGCCTCAGACACTGCTGAGAGCTCTGGGCAGATGTTTACTAGTTCTGAAAGGGACATATCCTAGCTGGCCCGGGCGGTGGCACACACTGTGTGGGTGAGGGAGTCACTGTGGCCTGCTGCTCCTTGCCGCTGCTGTCTTTAACCAACAGGAGGCTTCTTGCATGCTGCCCTTGAAGTTTTGCCCATGTATGAGTGTCTACATGTGTTCACTTGTGTATAGGTATATGTGTAAGTGTGTGCACACATCAGAACTGTGTGTCTTCTTCCATCATGCTCTACTTTTGCTAACTGGCTGATAGAGCTAGCCAGCTCACCCTGGCTGTCCTCTTTCCCTGCCTCTCAAGTGCTGGGATTACAGGCAGGCCGCCACACCCACAAGGCATTTACATGGTTCTGGAGATCTGAATTCTATAGACCTCAAGCTTGCAGAGCAAGCATTTTATTTACTAAGTTATCTCTCCAGCTTTGATGTTCTTACAAACAACGTTAACTGTGTACTCCTGTTAGGCAGATTTCAACTTTTAAGCTGAGATCCTGACACTATCGAGCCCAATGGCCTGATCTTCCAGGATCGGCTGCAGGGGTCAGAGGTCCTTTTGACTATCTCCTGTGTGAGGGATCAAATACTGAGTCTGGACATGGAAGCCCATCAGGGTATTTGGGGAGGCACAAAATGACCCCTGACTCTCCCCCCCACCCCTCCACACCTGCTGGCTTTCACTTCTGCCATCTTCTTCCTGAAATCTCACCTCTACTGGGCTCTTGATTTCAAACTACCTGGGGTCAGGACACCGAGGAGGGCGAGAGGGTGAGTGAAGTGGGGACAGTGATTGTCTGGGGACCATGAGACAGAGGATAGGGGCCTTGAGGGAAATGCTTCAAATAAACTAGCCCATCCCGCCTCCCATCATCCATAACTTACTTTGCCATGGTGCTGGCTCTGACTCTAGTTGGACCCATCCATCGAGATACCAGGTAAGGACTGGGTGGCTCAAAATCCTGCCATGTATTTAAGGACTCCGTACAGAACATTTCCAGTGACAGATTTATGTAATTTCAATGTAAACTGTGCTGCTGCAGCATGGAGTACAGCCATATCTCACTGGTGGCTGTGCCCACGGCCCTCAACCAGGGTGGTGACAGCCACACACACTTGCTTGAAAGAAAAGAAGTCCTTGCCAACCACAGCAGGATCACATTAGTGTGTCCAAGGATCCTCCTTGCCACGTCACTGTGGTCAGCCACACCAGTTACCACGGGGCTGTGCATGCAGATGACATGCTGCCGGCTCCCCGTGTCCTCAGGAGCCTCTCTGCTGGCAGCTCCTGGTCCTCAGAGCTCATTGTGCCGAGCTCTCGAGACCCTGCTGGACAGGTCCTGCAGATGCTTCTTCACCTGTGGAAGGGACACCTGTCAGTGGGGGACAGCATGGCAAGCCTGTCACTTCATGAGATCACGGGAGACAGCTGAAAACCAATACTAAACACTCTGGCCCATCTTCCATTACAGAGCCATCTAGAACATGTCATAAGGAAGACTCAAAGACACAAGGGATACTAAAACCAAGCAGTTGGAAGCAGATCGTCCCAAAAGACACTGACATTGGGACATTTGCCCTGTTATTTCTAGGAGACCCTGTGATGGGCCATGAGGATAGTGACTCTCCCTCACAGTGGTGGATGCCTGCAAGGGGACACGGAGAACTCCATTTCTGACCCCTTAACACCACAAAGACACAAAGAACCTTAGTGGCTTGCCAGCAAGGCCCAGGCTTGATCTCTGATTTTATGAGTTCTCTCAAAATGGTGGGTGGTAGTGCTACCCACTGGAGTTAGTTGCTGGCAGGTCTCCAAGCATACCCCGTGGCCCCAGCATCCCCAGTCTATTGTTCAGATTCATGGGGCCCCTCGCACACTGTTCCAAGTCCCTTGGCAGCCAGGGGCAGCTGAGAATGTGCTTAGATTTCAGCCTCGTCCATAAGCACTCTTCTCTTGCCACTTAACTTCTCAGATTTACTTATTTCTGCATAGCTAACACACCCCGTGGTGGCTCAACTTGAGAAGGTACGGGAGGGGCTCTCCCATGCTGGCTGTAGCCCCAGGTCCCTCCGGAGGCAGGAAGCTGCTTCCTCAGGTTTCCAGGAATCTGTGGGGACTGCTCATGCAGTTGCTGTGCCTCTGCTTGTCTGCAACTAACCCAGAGGTTGTTCCCCAAAGGACTCCTGGGGACCCCCCTGCGACACCTCAGTCGCCCCACAGCACGGCCAGCCTAGGATTCAAGCCCACACCTCAGCAGGCCAGGAAACAGCTCCCTGTCCCCGACTGCTACAACGCTTGCTGCCCTACACGTCTACAGGCATCACGTCTGTTGGCAGTGCCAGCATCTGCCACACTGAGCACCAGGCCACTCCGAGCTCCCATGGACGGCATTTATGTTTCCTTGAGTCAGGAGGTCACGGATCGAGACCCAAGCACAGGGCTGAAGAGGACTGGGTACAAGGGCGGAGGGGGTGAGAGGAACAGCGTGTCCCACCTTGTAGCCCAGCTCCTTGGTCTTCTCCTCCAGCAGCACGTACTTCTCCTTGTTGCGGCTGATGTGCTCGGGGTCACCGATGCTCTCCACGTGCTTCAGTTTCTGGTGGGAAATCTCCAGCTGCTTCTGGTAGTGATTATGCTTTTCAATTTTGGCCTCAAAGTGCTTGAGCTCCTCCTAGAGGGTGTCAACAACTTAGCTTCCTCCAACACAGAGACCCGAGGTCTCTTGTCCAGCAATGGTCCTGACCACTGCCGGCAACCACCAGGCTGCACACACGAAAACTGGTACATGCTTCCTGCTAAGAATCTCTAAACGGGGGTTGTCCACTAGAACCGGGTGGCAGCAGGGACCTTTGTACTCTCATCCCTGGATACCTTCTTTCCCATGCTGACTCTGCTCCCACCCACCACATCTAGATATGGAACCTCTGGAAACAGCAGCCCTGCCTACTAGGCATCCAGCTCCTTCCTGGCCCCACAGGCTGGTGCCCAGGGATTAGCTTGACCACAAGTGCTCTGTACCCTCTCTGCTCCCTCCTTCCCTAACAGGCCCACCACCCCAGGTCCTGGTGGTTATCCCGTCTTCTGCCTTCATGAGATCATGACTGAGGGAGCCTGCATCTTGGGATACAAGGTCTCTTCCCAAGGCCACAAAAGCTCAAGCTTCATGAGGACAGTCTCACCTCCGTTTCACTGCCTTGCTTCCCAAGGATGCCTTTGCTTCTCACAGGCTGCCTGCTCCCTTTTACCCCATGGGTCCAGTGCTTTCTGGGAGGTCAGTGGCAGCCTCTAGAAGCCTCACCCCTGGAGTTCCTTGGGCACAGACACACTGGAGGAGCCTTGGACTTGGGGGCCTCAAACCATACAGGTCCCAAGCATGTTCCACCCTACCCTAAACAGCAACTGACTATCAACAATCCTGCTTAGAAGATACTCCACCACTCAGCCTCCGCAGCTCTGCCCACACCTCACACCTTGGCCATCATCCCTCTCAGCATCTCACAGCACAATGCCGGGCAGCCCCTCCCCCCCACTCCAACCAGATGCCACACACAGGAGGTACTGAGACTGAGGGCATGGGAGGTGCGTGCCCACCTGCTGCCACTTGGCTTCCAACCAGGATGACAGGGCTGCAGAGGCCAGGGGCAGGAAGGTAAAGGGTCAGGACAAAAACATGAAGGGACTGCGGCATGAGGAAAAAGAACAGAGAGCCTGATCCCACTGGAGACCGGCAAGAGACAGAGGCCACAATAGAAGGCGACACAGCTTTGCCTCCCAGTTTCCTTACCCGGAATGACTCCAGTTCCTTCTCGGTGAAGTTGGCAGACTGGGCCAGGTCCCACAGATCTATCACCCGGGGCTCTTCAAATTCTGCAGGAGAGCAAGGGTCGTCTGTCTGGGTAGGTAGAGGACACACCCTGGTGCTGGGGGCCCATGTGGCCTGTCAGCCTGAGGGAATTCTGTGTGTGTTGCATTTTGGGAGCACTAAGTACCTGGTCTGTGCTCACAGCACCAGCTTAGATGTAGCCTGATTGTAACCTCACTGCCTGAAGTGAGGGGTCATATCCCGTGGACTCAGAATCACCTGCTACACATGGCCAGGACCATCGGCACACCCCTGACCGCCGCTGAGGTGAGAGGGAGTGAGAGCTGGGGTGTGATAGGTCATGAAGACCAGATGGGCATTGGGGAGGGCTGAGAGTCATCTAGTTAAGGCTGGGGTTCGGCCATTCACCTTCTAGCTCCCATGAACCCCTGATATCAACCCACCTCTGGGGGTAAACAGCAAGGCTCCCTGGTCTGGCTACCCCTGAGCCACAGCAGAAGATCCTAGTTTTCCACAGGGCCACTCCTGTCTAGGACCCAAGGGAACCCTGGTTTTCCTGGGAGTGTAGGGGTTAGGAACAGGCAGGCCAGTGAGAGAAGCGAAGGGACTGTCTGGATACAGCTCCCTAGGAGATGGCCCATGGAGGGCAGTGTTGAGGAATATTTGTTTAACCATGTAAAGAGGTGCTGCATTTGTTTAATTATGTAAAGATGTGTTGCTGTTTTACCTCGCCTGCCTAAGGAACCCGATTGGTCTAATAAACAGCTGAGTAGCCAATAGTGAGGAAGGAGGTATAGGCGGGACTTCCGGGCAGGGAGAGTAAGTGAGAGGAGGAATCTAGGCTGCGGGGGGGCGTGCAGAAGAAGGAAGAAAGAAAAAGAGGTGCCGGGGCCAGCCCGAAATGAGGAAGCAGGAAAGTAGAAGGACATACAGAATGAAAGGTAAAACGCCCTGAGGCGAAACACAGATGAATAGAAAGAATCAGGTTAAATTAAATTAAGTTAAAAGAGCTAGTGGGACAAGTCTCGGCTAAGGCTGAGCATTCATAATTAATAATAAGTTTCCGTGTCTTTATTTGGGAGCTGGTTGGCAGCCCAAAGACAAAATTCCAACTATAGAGCAGGATTGTGGTTGGAGAAAGAGGTGATACCCAGCACACTGACCATGGCCACACTCCCTTGTATAGTCCCATTAACCCAACAACAGTACCTCACAGCTGGCCTACAAGGTAGATTGGTCACCCCCACAGCAAGCAGTCTTGGGATAGGGTGCTAAGACTTCGTAGTAGGCCTCAAGCCCAGCCCCACAAGGCCTTGCAGGTGCTGCCCCGGAAGGAGGAGGTTCTGCCTGGGCCCATGCTATCTAAGGCTGAGCAAGCAGGACTTTATCCATTGCCGGCTACTGCCCTGTGCTTAGGGATGAAACTAGGTACCTACTGCCTAGAGCCCCAGGATGGACAGCAGGCCTGGCCCCAACACTTTTGTAAGCCCCAGAGGGTGGGACTGTCACTGCCGCAGAAGCCGTCATCCTGCTTGCTTGATAGAAGGGCTAAAGGTCAGTGATACTGTCAAAGCTGGCCTCCACTGGCAAGGGTTTGGGGAGACAGTCCTGTGTGAGATTATCAAGACTGAAAAGTGGCCTGGATGAGCCACCACCTTGAGGGCCACTCTGCTACCACTTCAAACCAGTCCTGGTAATTAACCTTTATGAGTGTTTTGCCTGCATGTATGTCTGTCTATGTATCTTTCACAGGCATGGTGCCCACGGAGGCCAGAAGAGGGCACTGGACCACTTGGGACTGGAGTTAGATGGTTGTGAACTGCCATGTTGGTTCCAGGGATAGAAGCCAGGTCCTCTGGAAGAGACCAGTGCTCCTAATCACTGAGCCATCTCTCTCTAGTTCCCAGCCCAGACATTTATATTACAGCAAGTGAGGCCCAGGACAGGCCACTCTTCAACACAGACAAGGACTGAGTTTGACAAGTCTCCTGGGCACTCCTGAGTCCATGTACCTGTCCCCTAAGCATGTGTCTGTCAGTCTGCCCGCCCCAAGCAGAAGCAGACAATTCCCCCATCAGGCATCAGCAGGCATAAACTGCACATAGGATGCCGGGTGGTGGTGGTGCACGCCTTTGATCCCAGCACTCGGGAGGCAGAGCCAGGTGGATCTCTGTGAGTTCAAGGCCAGCCTGGGCTACAGAGTGAGTTCCAGGATAGGCACCAAAACTACACAGAGGAAACACTGTCTTGAAAAACAAACAAACAAAAAACAACAAAATCAAAACCCCCCTCCAAACCAAACAACAACAACAACAAAATAATAATAATAAATAAATAAACTGCACACCGACGGGGCAAGCAAGGGCTTACCGGTGGTGGGGCTGTAGCCCTGGTGGCTGACCTTCCTCAGGCGGTCTAGGCCCTGGTTGATACTCCGCAGCCTGTCCTTCAGCTCGCTGTGCTTGCTGCTCAGCGCGTCGCTCTTGATGTGGCTCATGTCGGAAGGACTGAGAAGGTTCTCATAACCTTCTGTGGAACAAGATGCAGCGTGTCTGACAAGGACTTCCCCTGCAGGCCTGGGGTCCTAGTGGCCAAGACGGCCCTGAGTCCATCCACTGGCCATGCCTCTGCCAACCCTGAGTGTGGGCTGGTGCATGTGCTTTCTCACACAAACGTCTAAGGGTGGATGTCTCGGCATCTGTACCCAAAGGCCTGCCCCAGGGACCAACTTTCTCAGGTCCCCTACTTGGCAAGGTCACACCAGTGAGAAGTGATGGTGGCTGGCTTGCTACGTCAGGGTACCTCAGTCACCCCAGAAGCCACCTTTCATCTGTGCAGCCGGACTGGTGTAACACGACTGGTACAAAACCTGTTTGCATCCATGAACATGGGTAGAAACATGAGAAAAATGTCCCGTCCCCTCCCCACAACCCTTGGGAACCATGGAATACTGTGCCCGGTACAGGTGGGCCCAGGGGGGCACAGGTAGACACGGGGCGCACCTTCAGCTCTGCTCAGTGTGTCTAGCATCACATTGTATTCGTGGATCTTCTCTTTGTGGTGCAGAAACTCCCGCCACAGCTTGTCCAGTTCTTCACTGGAGAATTTCCCTGATGTCTTGGCCTGAGAAGAAACAGCCTGGAGTGACCATGCCTGTCCCGTCATCAGCACACCCCAAGGAGTTCAGGCGCCTGTCGGCAGGATCCTTGCTCCAGAGCAAAGAGCTTGGGGCTGTTCTCATCCTCTGCTAGCCTTGTGACCCTCTACTAGGTGTGTGTACCAGGAAAAGAAAACCCAAATTGGAAGCTCCTGATGGACAGTGTCCCTTTCCCTTGATGTCCACAGATATGACAGGGCTGGCTAGAGAAGACAGAGGAAGGACCCTGACTGAGGAAGTTACCTACATCTGCTTAGCTCTTCTGGCTGTGTGGATGGTGGTGACAGCAGGGCCATCTCCATGGTCCAGCAGGGACTAGATGAGTGTAACCCAGATGGGCTACTCTGGGAGCGGGAGCAAGTGAGCCTGTGGCACTGAACTGCTGCCATATCCCAATGCCCACCCTGCACCTGTGCTCTGCTTAGGTCTGCACCCCAAAGCAAAGATGGGCCAGACCCAGCACTGCTCGCCTTCCCAATCACAGCCCCAAGAGCCCACGCCGACATTGCACACAGCTGAGGGCCCCCTTCCTAAGCACAGAAGCAAGACCGAGGCCAGTCCCAGAGACAAAGTAAAGACAGAGCGGCCTGACCTGATACACCTGTGATTCAGCCACATACCCTGAAGAGCCTTCTAATGCCTGCAGTCCTGACAGCTAGGAGCACTGTAGAACTCCTCTGTTGACCAACCAGGACAGCAGACTTCACAGGAAGGGAAGTCTGAGCACAGATCATGTCTCGTGGAGAAGCCAGAAGCCTGAGTTGGTTCCCACACAGCAGGCTTCACCACAGAGCAGGCAGCAAGACCACAGAGAGAGCCCCACGGCCCCACATCTTAACTCTATAGGTCGGCCCAAGTTCAGAAGGGGAGGGGGAAAGGTGAATGGTACCTTGTGCCACAACTTCTCCAGCCTGGGGTCCCCCAGCTCGTCCTGGGTGTCTTCAAGTGCGTTGCTGTGCACCATCTGGGTGTCCTTCCTCCCATCCAGTCCGTACCTGGCCAAGATGACTAGAGAGCGGGTATTTGATTTTTAGTGGACACTGTTTCCCTTGACAGGCAGAAGCTGCCATGGGGGCCTGTAAGGTGAGTCTGCTTCTCATTTTCTAGAAGATTCCTTTCACCCTTCTCCTAAGTGATCTGGGAAAACACGTACCAGGTTAGGGCATGGCCAGGGACTCACAGACATCCTGAATTCCATCCACCACAGACACCCCCTGCTTGAGCCCTCCTGAATCAGGAGCTCATGGGAGGGTGTGACCTGATGTGTGGAGTAGGACCGCATCATGATGCTCCCATTTCTGGCATATGCCAAACCCCAGCAAAAACCAGCACAGAACAGTCTCCTGGGTGTCAGGGTGATGGCTAGGAGAGGCTGGCCAACAGGCACCTGGCCTCTGAGATGCCCAGGTTCTGTGCATACCCACACCACAGCCCCTCCACTCTGGAGGGCTCGGCACCTTTTGTCACCAACACATAACAAGGGCAAGCAGGCCAGCTGACTTCACAAATGCCTGGCCTCTAACTTCCACACCCCTGCCAGCCAGACTGCCCTGGAACTTGTATTCCATGAGCAGCCACCCATAATGTCTGTTTGGTTAGAGGGTTTGCTTGTCTGTCTTTCTGTCTGTCTCTCTCTTCTTCTTCTTTTTTTTTTTTTTTTTTTTTTTTGGTTTTTCGAGACAGGGTTTCTCTGTGTAGCTTTGTGCCTGTCCTGGAACTCACTCTGTAGCCCAGGCTAGCCTCAAACTCAGAGAGATCCATCTGCCTCTGCCTCCCAAGTGCTGGGATTAAAGGCATGTGCCACCACCTCCCGGCTTGCTTGTCTCTTAAAGGCAGAGACACTCCTAGGCCTAATGTCTGCTTAGCCACTGGGGATCCTCCCCTGTGACCCTGTCCTGTCTAGAAAGGGTACAGAACTTCTCTGCTGTGTTACTCTGTTGGGTCCAAGCTGGTGACCCACTGGTCCCCAGCCTTTCCTTAGCACCTTCATCACACAGCTCTCACTGGACAGTTCCACATGGCACCATGGTCTCCACGCTCCAGTGGGTCAGTGGCCATATGGCTGACACCGTAGCCCCCACCTCGTTCCTTCTTCTGGGGTCTGCTTTCAGTCACGGCCAGCCCTGCAAGTGTCCCTGTTGCTCAGTCTGTACCTGCCTTTGGGGGATTTCTACCCTTTTCCCAGGCCTAAGAACTAAGATGCCTCATTTTGTCTGGAAGCTTGAACCCCTGGAACCTGGTATAATGTGCATACCTACCTTCCAGTTTGTGAGCACAGGGCCTTGCGCCACAGTCACAAGCGGTCTGTAGCATTCTAGATGACCATGGAAAGCCACTTCTACTCACAGGTCAGGAGGCATCCGTGAGCAGACGGTGTGGGTACATACACTGACTTGATCTGGACTCTAACTCAGACGTGCAAAGCTATACGTGGACAGCCGCTGGTGCCTGTAATCCCTGCTCGTGGGAGGCTTAGGCAGGAAGATTGCTGGAGTCTTGGAGTCTGGGGGCTCAGACACCTCAGTCTCAGAGAGCCAGTGCCTGGCATTGCCTCTGCAACTTTGCTGCCTAGCCCAAGCCTGCTCACTGCTTGCCACCATGGAAAAGAGCTGTCACTGTTACCCTCAAGCTGGGTAACCCTGGTGCTTGAGCTGGGTAGGGGTAGGAGGGGAGCTTGGGCAGAAGGGGCTTTATCAGACTCGGGGCCCATAAGCAAATTGCTCAAGACTGTTCAGAAGTAAAGCTGAGCAAGGTTCTGGATCCTGGAGTGCTGAGCTCTGTATGAAATAGAATCCCAGAAAGCTGAGGTCTCACATAGTTCCTAGCAGTGTCCAGGCCCAGCCAGGGGAGTGAGGTAGCCCTGGAGCTGATAGTGGGCATGCCCCTGAATAGACCAGCAGGATCGCTGCCTCACAGGACTGAGTCCATGCGGGGTTTTGCACAAGAGCTGAGGGTCTAGATGAGGCTGCTTCCATGAGACTAGGCCTTAAGGATCTGGCCTGGCCCAGGGTAGAGCTGGCTATAGCTAGGGGGCCTACCCCTTCCTTGTGATTACCAGCAGTGTCTATTTCTTATCCCCAGGTTACGGGTCTGTACTCTGTACTTTGGTCCCCAAGGTGTGGGAGCAGCATTGACAATGACTTGAACAGTGAATGGAGGGGCGCACATGGACCACAGCCAGCGGGTAGCCAGCATCAGTAAACACCCATCTACCAAGTGCTTAGAAGAGTCAGCTTCAGGTGTCGGCTCCAAATCCTGTTAGGTGTGCTGCCAAGCACCAGTGAAAAGAAAGCATCGCCCAAGCAGCCTTGCCCTACTTGAGTTGTGGGCCAGACTCTGCCACGCTGGAAGAAACTACTCCCTGGCCAGGACACTGGCTAGCCAGAGGCTGGTCACTGGCCCACTTCCTTGGAACGTCTGCATCCCTCTACCTCTGAGCCCAACCCCATCTCTGCAGAGCTGGCTGCCTACTTCCCTCTGGCAGCTCCTGGCCTCCTCTCCTGGGGGACCAACTCCACAGTGGACATCAGGCCTGAGGTATGGACCCTGAGGGCTAGTTCTGAAGAAGCCACCTGTGTGAACCCTGGGTACAGTTCAGTTGCTTATGCCGGTCAACGAGAACTCCACCCATCCTGCAGTCCAGTGGAGTCTCATGGTGGATACTCCACTCAGTTTGGGACTTCCATGAGAGGCAGCACATGACCCGGTCATGTGAGAAGCAGGGTGTTAGCTCAAGGAGTGGGGGTATAGTGGATGGGGTGGCAGAGCTAGGGTAAAACCCTAATGCCCAGGGCATACAGAAGGGTTGGTGGCCAGTCTACGTGCCGTATCCTGAAGGCCACAGGATGGCACACAATGAACCCAACTCTTCCTATTAGTGCCTGAGTGTGGGCTGAGGGTGTTGGGAGGATGGCAGAGGAAAATCCAAATGGAGCAGTCACACCTATCATCTAGACCTAAGGATGCATAAGTATGCACACTGAATAGGGCATGTGAGAGCTCTGCCCATCTTCAATGTCCACAACAAGGAGATGCTCACAACCCTGCCTTGCCAGCATACTCCATTCTGAGATCACACCTGCTTCCTCATCTGGCTGACAGCATCCTATATCCTGTTCCTGGCCAAAAAGCTCCAGAGCCTTTGGTTGCCTGGGTATCAATTCGTCAAGTCCCCAGCCCTGACGCCCTTCCAACATTCAGAAAGCAGCACAGAGACTTTTGACCATGACCCAGGGCATCTATCTGTCCTCAGATGAGCCACCTCGCAGGCTACACTTGATGTCTCAATACCTCCCCCCCCACCTCTCAACTTGGCCCCTAGCTGGTGGCTGCACCCGTCGTGAGAATGGGAAGGTACCATTGAGGTTGTGGATCAGTTTTGCTTCTTTCTCCCCATCCTCGTCCAAGCCTTCCGCCTTCAGCTTCTTCCAGTTGAGTTCATCCCTTTCCTGTATCTTCAGGTCAGAGTGGAGTTCCGCCAGCTTCACAGGAGACAGATGAAGCTGCCCAAGAAGAAAGGGCCGACATGTGATGAGCTCTGTGTGACAGGCATGGTGAACAAGACCTGGGTGGGGGTGGGGGGGCGGGAGACTAGGAGTCCAGAGTGGACAGGGCTGACAAGACACACAAGGACTTCAGAGACTGTGCCCTGTGTCAGGAACCCAGCTGAGGCGAGGTCTGCTGTCAGCAGCCTCCTGCAACAGGGCAGGACACCTTTATGTTCTTTTTTTGTCCTGGAACTCACTTTATAACCAGGCTGACCTCGAACTCACCGAGATCCGCCTGCCCCTGCCTCCCAAGTGCTGGGATTAAAGGCGTGCCCACCACCGCCAGGCTACACCTTCACATTCTGACACCTGGAGCTATGAACCAGGTAAAGGGTACACCAGTGAAGGGCTGGACTTGGTGAAGAAATGATTTTTCTACAGTAAGTATGAGAAGAAGAAAAAAACCACTACAGAGTAGAAGATTGAGTTTACAGAAAACTTCCCAATAAAATCTTGATTTTTTTTTTTTTTTGAGGTACTAGGACCAGGATCCAGGGCCTTATCCATACTAGGCATACTACCACAGAGAGAGCTTGTCTCAAACAAAAAAAAAAAATCAGAAGGAAGGACCGCCCTCCCAGGGGACCTGAGAAGTCAACTGTCATCTGAATACATGGCCGCTCTAAGAGTCAATGAGAAACTGAGTCTCTGGGAGTGTGTAACAACCTGCAGAGGTTCCCCTCCCTCCAACTCCAAGGACAGTCCTTTGCTCTCCACATTACCCAGGAGTCTCCCTCTTGTAACTCACTAGGCATGTCACAGCACTGAGTCAGGATGGTTGGTTGAGCCAGGAGTCCCCCACTGACCGGCTCACAGCTCCTCACAAGCATGTCTATGAAACAGGAACTGGGTAATACCAGAGTCAGGGCATGAGGGCTAGACTGGCATGAAGCAATGACTCCCCAAATGTCACATTGCTCAATCTCACAAGATGGAGGTGGGCCCCAGGCCTCTGCAGAGCTCTCCCATGGCCCACTCCACTCCCTGGGCTCTCAAGACTGACCTCAGTTCTAAAGGTGGGCTGGAAATGGGGTGAGGCAAACAGCTCTGCCACACCTTTTCTTTGGCTTCATGCATGATAAAACTATATTCCATTCACTATGATGTAGTTTCGTATTTGGAACACAAAGAAACACAGACTGTTTAAAGAATAAATAAAACCTCCCTGAATGGTGAAGATCATTGAGAACCCCTAAGAGACTACAATCCAGGGAGGGCCTAGGTGAGCATGTATCTACCTAAAGGGTGGGAGTGGGGGTGGGAGATGGCAGCACTAATAACTATTGAATCCTGAAGGAACAGAAGGCCACTTCCAAATGTTTACATGAAAGATAAGAACCTGGTGCTCTTCCCTTCAGCAGAGGTGACTTGGCAGCTAGGACACAGCTGGAAGCCTTCATGTCTGAAAGGAAAAGCAACACTACTCAACTTTGGAAGCGGGGAGTAGACACTAGGCATCCTAAAAGGAAAGCCACCTGGAAGACTATCCCCTTCCGTTTAGCCGAACTTTCAGGCTACAGGGCTGGAAGGACACGCGGCCCGAGGCTTAGACAGGATGAGGAGAGCAGCCATGCCAGCAGTGACAAGGAGCTGTGGACAATCAGGAGACATAATGGATGCTGCAACAGATGAGTGGATACCGCAGGGAAGGACCCAGGGACCACACAGGCACAGGATGAGGACAGGTGAGGCCACGGCAGGTCTGAGAAAGTCACCTGGACATGCCGGGGGAGGACTTGGGGCCAGCTTCTGAGCAAAAGGGGATGCCAGGCTCTGTGGGCACCAGAGTGCACTTCCCCCACAGACTTTGTCTCTGTCAGACTAGTACTGTCTTCGGGGCCCCCATCCTTCTCTTGGGTAATCTCAGGTGAACAGTGTTCCTCACAGTGAACATCACAGTGGGCACAGCTGTCAGGGAGAGCAGGCCTCTTCACTCTAGATGGTTCCCATGGCTGACACTCTGCTGGCATCCACTCCCCGCTGTGCTCCTGGCCTGTTTCTCCAGGGAGCTGAACTGCTGCTTCGGGCACCAGGGCTGTCCCAAACCTTCGCAGGCTGGACACTGCACATTGTCCCCCCCTCTTGCAGCAGCCCCTCAAACGCACTGGCTGGGCACTAAGCTGGGCCCTGTGGTAGTTCAGGAGGGGCCTGTGGGGCTGTACGCCAACCTCCCAACTATCTCTCCATCCTAATCCTCCAGGGCCAAAGTTTCTCCACTGTTTTCTTTGAAAACTCATTCTTCATTTGCAAATTATTTACTATCCTCCCAGACTCAGGAATGTTCAAGCTGGAGGGCTAAAGGGCTACTCTCTTCAAGCCAGAGTGGAAGAGACTGTGGCCCTGAGGGCCTAGTTATACCACAACAAAAGCCCTGCTTTAGGATCTCAATCAGGGAGGGGACCCAAGTTCCAAGCCAGCCCTCAGGCTCTTCCTATCTCCATTCCAAAAGGAAGAGAATCAGATAAAGATATCTGCTAAATGTGAGTTAGGCATTCTCCAGGTCTTGTGTAGTGTCACCCCTCACCCCCTTGGGAAAGGCATCCAAATTAACCACCTCTGCTAGCAACTGAGACATCTGCTGTTTCTGTACTGTCACCATCTCAGGTCATCTGCTTTGCTTCTTTCCATCGGGGGAAAATATAGATAAAAGAAAAGGCTTGCAAACAAGATCTCATGTAGAAAGCACCCGGCTACCCGCATCTGAATAACTGGCTCTTTGGAAAATTGGCTTTCTGGACAGAGTGATCTGGTGTGCATAGGTAGGAAGGGTAGGCATCACTCATTCTTTGGGGTCCCCAGCTACACTAAAGGCAACCACAGCCCCGTACGATCAGCACCAAGTTCCTCTTGGGCCTTTGGGTCTCTCCTTATTGCAAGGTCTGGGTGGCCCATCTGACACTTAGGGGAAGCAGTACAAAGGGTAGGCTGCCCCCGGCCCGGAGGCCACGCCAGCCTCTTGACCAGGGCACTGCTCTCCTTTGCTCACAAGCAACTCCTTACCCCTAGCCCCGTGCATCTCCCGGATCCCGCTTACCCGCTGGGCCTTCTCCCATAGCTGGTTCAGCTTTTCCATGCGGAACTCCTCCCCGGGCTCGCGCTTGGCGGCCATCTCAGGCTCGTTCTTCTCCCGCGAGTACTTGCCGCCATGACCGGCGATGGGCTGGGGCACGAGCAGCAGCGGCAGAAACAACAGCACCCACAGTTGGAGCCGAGGCAGCGCAGAAACCCTCTCTCTTCGCGGCGCCATCTTTCTCTGCAGAGCCTGAGGCTCGCCGACTGACAGGCTTGGTCGTGTAGGACCGCCCACCGGTAGCCCCGCCCACCAAGCAGGCCCACCTCCGGACCCCGCCTCTCTCCTTATCCCGATCCCGCCCTCCTCCAAGCCCCGCCCACATGACTGCCCTCCTCTCGCTTTCAGACCCAGTCTACTGGCTCGGCTCCGCCCACCGCCTGCAGAGCGCAAAGGTCCCAGCGCATTTCATGCTCTGGGCCTGGGGCTTCGGCCTGCAGAGCCCACTAGCTGGTCTCCTGGGTTCCTCCAAGAAGTGGAAACTGGGAAAGTCGGGCCCTGCGGCCGAACTGGGGCTGCTCCGTCTCATCTGCGTCCTCACGCACAACCCCACTCCTCATGTAATCACGCAAGAAGCGCGGCGGGAGAGGACTTTGCCATTAAACCTGGGAGCAGCTATCTCCGCTTGGTCTTTGGGACGCTTCTCCTCCGCGCGGGTTCCGATTGACAGGCTCTGTGCACCTTCCTAGTCTCTTCCCACCTGCAGCCCTGAAGAAACTCCAGTGGACAGAATGAGGTGTGGCCAGCCTGTTGGGGGCGTGGCCTGGCTTGGAGAGAGCCTGGCCCTGAAAGGAACCCAGGGTCTGGTACAGGCACCAGCACAGTTTGGGGAACTAAGAGGGACAGGCAGAAGAGTCATCTGGTGAGGATGACCCGAAAGGGTCTGCAATGGGGAGGGACATAGAGGACAAAAGGAGGGGGTCTTTGAGGGAGCCAGTGCTTATTTTTTTTTAGCTTTAAGCTGTACCTTGTGTTTCTCCAGAAAGGGTTCAGGATGCCTGGAAACCTGGTGATTTGCCAAAGTTGGCACCTGTTTTCTGAGCTCTTTTGTTTTCTTTTGTTTTTCGAACAGAGCCTCACAATGTACCTCTGGCTGTCCTGGAACTCACTGTGTAGACCAGGCTGGTCTCAAACTCAATAGAGATCTGTCTGCCTCTGCCTCCCAAGTGCTGGGATTAAAGGTGTGCACCACTATGCTTGGCCTCAAATACCTCCCCTTCAGATAGAAGAAGGGTGTTTTGTTTTTGTTTGGGGGCTTTTTAGTCTTGTTGGTTTTTGAGATGAAACAGGATCTCACTCGGGAGCCCTGGAACTCAACTATGTAGACCAGGCTGGCTTTGAACTCACAGGGATCCACCCTTCTCTACCTCCCAGTTGTCCCAGATCTTGAGAGCAGTTGCTTGAGTTAATTTTTTCCAGTGGATTCAGACAAGAGCGTGAAGTCAGTCCCTAGTCCTCTGTCTTGTCAAGAAACACAGGCTCCCTGCCGCTTGGCTATTAATGTTTAATGTTTACTAACTTACCCTTATTTATTTGCTCAGATTAGCGTAACTGTAATAAGCCTGGTAATGCATGAGGGTCCCAGAGGACAGAGGTTCATCTTGCCCTTGCTTCAGTCTTAGGCAGATGCACTCCAGGTGTGGTTCGAAGCCAGGCTCTTCACCTGCATGCTGCAGTTTCCAAGACTGCCTCCCACAGGCGGAGGGAAGCAGCGGTTGATAGGCTAGCTATGTTACCCCTGCTTAGGATTCACTGCTGGGATCCTCCTGGTTGTGTTGGAGGCTGGGAATGGTGTGTAGTTCTGAAAGGAGAGGAGATGAGAGGATGGAAAGCTGCAGGCCTTTTTCTTAGTCTGAAGAGAATCCACAGAGAGATGGGTACCACGGAAGTAGCTTCCTGTCAACCTTTAAACTTCACACTCCTTACCGTTCTAAGGCTAAGGGGTGCTCCTAGTTGGAGAGACAGAAACAGACAACTGCAGAGAAGCAGCTGGAAGAAAACAGAAAGGAAGAATGTAGGACTGTAGCAAGGTCAAAGCAGGGGCCTTACATGCCTGGGCTTTGGTCCTGAGCAGTGCAAACACACAAACAAAAAACCCAGCAAAGTGGAAACAGGAGATAAACACACACACAGTGAAAGAAAACGGGAAGAAATGTTATCCTTGAAGAGACAACAGAAGCCCTTGGCTGTGGAAAGAATTCACACACATAGTCATGGATGTTATGACACATAATTATATGGAACATAAAAAGCATGTTAGAGGGGGCTGGAGAGATGGCTCAGTGGTTAAGCTCAGGGACACTCTTCCAGAGGACTCAGGCTCAATTCCCAGCGCCCACATGGCGGCTCACAACTGTCTGTAGCTCCAGTTCCAGGGGACTGGACACCTGTGGCAAAACATCAATGCACATGAAATATAAAAATAAATAAATAGATAGATAAATAAAAGCATGTTAGAGAGCAGAAAGAGCCATCAGCTCACAAACTGAGAGCAGAAATTAAAACCTAAATAATAATTGAAAGAGAACTCTGAGAAAGTACGTTGAAGCTACAAGGAGGTGGTCAACAGGAAGGAAAAACATGATTTCCAATCCAAGAGACCTATTCTTTGATGAACAGGAGTTTCAGAAAGCACAGAGGGTCCGTGAGATGGCCCAGGAGGTAAGGGTGCTTGCCACCAAGCCATGCTACCTGAGTTCAAACCCTGGGATCCACCTGGTGGAAAGAGAGAACTCCCCAAAAGTTGTCCTCTGATGGCTACATGTGTGCCCTCTAGAATGTCGGCACCTACCTACCCCCAAGAAAGCACAGAGGAAATGGAAACTAGAAACTACAAAGTTAATAATTTTTTTTTTTTTTTGGTTTTTCGAGACAGGGTTTCTCTGTGTAGTTTTGGAGCCTGTCCTAGACTAGCTCTGCAGACCAGGCTGGCCTCGAACTCACAGAGATCCACCTGCCTCTGCCTCCCCAGTGCTGGGATTACAGGTGTGTGCCACCACCGCCCGGCTCAAAATTAATAATTTAAGACAATATCCAGACCCCAAAGGGATGAACAGAGCCCATGGGGTGACTCCTAGAATGAGTGAAAATAAACCTTACAGCCAGGCATGTTACTGTGAAAATCTACAGTGTAGAAGGCAAAAAGATTTTATAAACCTTTTTTAAAAGAGAAAAAGAAACAAACAGAAGGTTATAAACTGTCTCTAGGCTTCCCAATAACAATCCTTAAAATAAGCCAGGCAGTGGTGGCACATGTCTTTAATCCCAGTACTTGGAAGGTAGGAGCAGGTGGATCTCAGTGAGTTCAAGGCCAGCCTGGGCTACAGAGTGAGTTCCAGGACAGCTAGGACTACACAGAGAGAAAGCCTGTCTCAAAAAACAAACAAAACAAACAAAAACAAAACCAAACAACAACAACAACCCCTTAAAATAGAAAGGCACTGGGTGAGGGCAGGAGTTTAGTTGTTAAAATGCTTGCCTGGCATGCACCATGAATGCAGAAGCTGTAATCCCAGCACTTGGGAAGTGGAGAGAAGAGAATCATAAGTTCAGGGATATCCTCAGCTACATCCTACAGTTTGAGGATAGCTGGACAACATGAGACTCTGTCTTTACAATAAAGAAAGAGAGAAAGAAAGAAAGAAAGAAAAAGAAAGAAAGAAAGAAAGAAAGAAAGAAAGAAAGATGAGTAGAACAATCATTTCATATTTAGAAGGAAAATGACTTCTGACCTAGAATTTTATACTCAGCCAAACTACTAAGAAAATGTGAGAGAACTTCATGAGATCGGGTTAATAAATACACTCCAGACACAAATGCTCCACCAGAGTAGGGAAATAAATCAAAAGCAGAGGCAGACAAGTACCAGACCCAATTGGAAAGTACTGTAGGAAGAGGTAAGAGGAATCCCTGAGAGTGGGAATGAGAGGGTGGGTGATAGTTGACTCAAGGGACAAACAGATGAAATTCTGCCATTGCCATTAGTCTGTGTTTTTAAACCTCAAGAAAGAATGCCCAAGTTAGCCTCCAGCTCCTTGTTGGAAAGCCGAAGAGCCACCCATTTCTCTCCAAGAAGAAAGAGAGGGAAGGAAGGGGTAAGGGAGAGAGAGGGGGAGTGAAAAAGGGAGAAAGAGAGGGAGGAGCAAAGAGTGAGGATGTGTACAAGTACAAAGAACTTCCGGTTCCTTCCAGGTTGTGACCTGCACAGCTTCAGTCTATCACTTAGGAGCTCAGGAGATTCAAATTCACCTCCCAACCAGCCCACCTCAAGGCCAGGGCCCTCAGGTATTCATGCCCCTGCCCCACTGGGTTCTGGGAAAGGATAGACTATTCCTGTTTGGCCAAAGCAGTTCCCAAGAGGGACAACTGTGAGCAGCTGGGAGTGGTTACTCTAGCAGGCAGAAAGGCATCTAGATATGCACTAGAATCATCTCTATCCTTTGCCAGTGCCATCATCTGGAGACATATGGGACTCATGTCTTGAGCACCCTCTCTCCATCCTTCCACCCAGAGCATCCTTGAAAGCAGACCATCCTCACCTGGCCTCCTTCATGGGCAAACCCAGGACTCTCGCTGCTTCCCACCCCTTGCCACTCCAGACCCTGGGACTAATCTTTCTATGATTTTACTCCCTCTGTGTGTCAAGTAAAGGTCCCCAAAGTTATTCCTTATCTCACACAGTTTTGTATGTCTCCTCAGACCCCTTATTATCCCACCCAGGTGGGCATCATAGGCCCTTTTATAATGACATGTGACGTGTGGCACTGTATAATTCCCACATTCCTCATGACCTGCCATGAGCAGTACCTCCTATATCCCAACCTTTGGGTCCTCCCTTGACCCAGTTATAACTGGAAATGGGTACTATCTTATCTTTCAAAGACAAACCATGGGTAGAGCTGCACATTTGTAACCCCAGCTCTTGGGTGGCTGAAGTGGTAGGATTGTGAGTTTGAGGGCAGTCTGGACTACAGAGTGAGTTTCAGGCTAGTTTGGGCAATAGAGTCAAATAATGACTGAAAGAAACTAAAATCAAAACAAAACCAACAACAACAATGAAAAAAAAAAACCCAAACAACCTAAAACCTAAAATACAAAAGACAGCATCACTCTCTCTAGCACTCCTACTTTTATGATCCTTGATTTCAAGTCTCACCTGGATGATGCCTCTAAAACCCTGATCTGATCTCCTCTGATGATCTTGAGCTGCAAGCTACCCACTCCTCTCC